GCAGGGGGTGGTGTTCCCATGTATCTGCTGCCCCTTGTCCTTCCAGATGGAAGTGGCCGTGGGTTTGGAAGGTGCTACCTGAGGGGCCTTGGTGAGTTTCTGCAGTGCATCTTGTAGATGATACACACTGCTGCGACTAAGCGTCGGTGGTGGAGGGAGTGGGATGTTTGTGGATGTGGTGCCAATTGAGCGGGGGCTGCTTTGTCCTGGATGGTGTCGAGCTTCTTAAGTTTTGTTGGAGCTGCCCCCATCCGGGGCAAGTGGGGAATATTCCATCACATTCCTGACTTGTGCCTTGTCAATGGTGGGACAGGCTTTGGGGGGGAAGTCGGGAGGGGAGTTACTTGCTGCAGAATTCCCAGCCTCTGACCTGCTCGCGGTGCTAATCGAGTGGGAACTGAGGGGGTGATTACTTAGTAATCCATTGACTACTAACTTAAGAATGGGGGGGGAGGGTGCAGGAGAGAGAGGTCAGAGGGGAGATCCAGGAGAGGGTGAGGTTAAGGAGACTTTAATGGAGGCTATGCAGTGACAGGCAGATTTATTACCAGGCTCAGGTTGGAGTCGAAGCTCATCTGGATGTATTTCCAATCAAATTCGATGCCTCTTGCCCCGACCCACAGAGGGATACACCTGGGGGTAAACAACATGAGGTTATTGGGCACGGTGCAGTGCTCTATACACACGCGCACACACACACACTCTCACACAGATACACTCCCTCGTCCATGTTCAACAGGTCATGCTCTACCATTGACACACTCTGGTCTGTGTTCAACGCAGCACCCCCCCTCCCCCCCCCTCCCGCCCTTCCCCCCCCCCCCGACCCCCCCCCCTCCCCACCCCAGCTCTCATCCCCCCCTCCCCTACATTCTGTTCTCCACTCCTCTGGAGGGCATAGGTTTAAGGTGAGAGGGGAAAGATTTAAAAGGGAGCTGAGGGGTAACTTTTTCACACAGAGGGTGGTGTGTGTATGGAATGAGCTGTCAGAGGAAGTGGTGGGGGCTGGTACAATTACAACATTTAAAAGGCATCTGGATGGGGACATGGATAGGAAGGGTTTAGAGGGATATGGGCCAAATGCTGGCAAATGGGACTGGATTAATTTAGGATACCTGGTCAGCACAGATGAGTTGGGCCGAAGGGTCTGTTTCCATGCTGTATGAGTATGTAGTGTAGGTCAAGTGATTATGTATAACATAGGGTTGGAGGGGTGGGGGTGAATGGGGGCAGAATGCTCTTCAGAGGGTTGTTACAGACCGATGGGCTGAACGGCCTATCTCCGCACTGTGGGGATTTTATGAACTGTGCTCCTGCTGCTTCCTTCCCCCAACACCATTTTATCAGCGTCTCTGAGCGTAAGGGCAGTTCAGAATGGATTAGAGTTGCTCGATACCTTGACAGTTCACTGCCAGTGAGACTGTGGGGGAAGGGGTCTGGGTCTAGCTTTCCCCCGCCCCCCGCCATCCCCTATCAGCCCCCCTCCCTCTAGCCCGCAGGCACACTGAGGGCGTCCGGCTCTTTGGTAAGACATTGGAGGGCTGCCCTTAAAAAGGTTTATAAAATGATGAGGGGTATAGATGAGGTAAATAGCAAAGGGTCAGGGGGTCCAAGACTAGAGGGAGGGGGGCACATTTTTAAGGTGAGAGGAGACAGATTTTAAAAAGGACATGAGCGGCAACTACACAGAGAGTGGATCACGTGTGGAATGAACTTCCTGAGGAAGGGGTGGATAAGGACATGAATAGGAAAGATTTGGAGGGATATGCGCCAGGAACAGGCAGGTGGCACTAGTTTAGTTTGGGATTAGGATCAGCACGGAGTGGTTGGGCCGAAGGGTCTGTTTCTGCGCTGTATGACTCTGTGACTTTGGCAATGTCTCCAGAAACATGGTAGGTGGTTACTGATAGGGGTGGGACCGAGGGGAGGGAGGGGGGAGTTCAGGGCCCGGGTGAAGGGGCACACGCCCCCGGCCTCCCCGGTAGGTCCTCACCGGGAGGTGATGAGTTCGGCAGTCGACCAGCCCATCGCTGCCACCATGATCTTGTATTCGCCTTTGCCTGCATTCTTCGACATCACCAGGTGTAGCCCCACCAGGTCAGCGAGATCCACCGTGGATTTCATAAACTCCTGCACAGAGATGGGCGGGGGTTACAGAGACAGAGGGAGGGGGCACAGACCACAATCCCCACACCACACACAAGCTACACACCGTTAGATACACAGTAAAGCTCCCTCTACACTGTCCTCCCATCAAACACTCCCAGGGACAGGGACAGCACGGGGTTAGATACACAGTAAAGCTCCCTCTAC